GGAAAAAAAACCCCCCGGGGGTTTTTTCCCCCCTTTTTTTTTTTTTTTTTTCCCCCCCTTTGGGGGTTTTTTGGAAAATTTAAAAATTTAAAAAAAAACCAAAAAATTAAAACCAAATTAAAATTTTTCCCCCCCTTTTTTTTAAAAACCCCTTTTTATAAACCCCCCTTTTTTTTAAAACCCCCCCTTTTTTTTTAAAACCCCAAAAAATTAAACCCCAAAAATTTTTAAAAAAAAAAAAATTTTAAAAAAATTTTTTTTTAAAAAAAATTTTTGGAAAAGGGAAAAAGTGAAAAAAAAAAAGGGGGGTTTTTTTTTTAATTTTTAAACTTCCCGGGGGGAAAAAAAAAAAAAATTTTTTTTAAAAATTTTTTTTAAAAAAAAATTTTTTTTTTTAATTAAAAAAGGGGGGGGGAAAAAAAAAAAAAAAAAAAAAAAAAAAAATTTAAATTTTTTTGGGGTTTTGGGGGGTTTTTTTAAATTTTAAAAACCTACCACCCCCTTTTTTTGGGAAAAAAAAGGGGGGGCTTAAAAAGGGGGGGGTTTTTAAAATTTTTTTTTTTTGATTTTCCCCCCCAAAAATTTTTTTCCGGGGAAAATTTTTTGGGGGGGGGCCCCCCCCCCCTTTTTTTTTCCTTTTTAAAAAAAAAAAATTTTTGGGGGGGTTTTTTTAAAAAAATTTTTTTTTTTTTTCATTAAAATTTTTTTTAAAAAAAAAAAAAAATTTTTTTTTTAAAAATTTTTTTTTAAAAAAAAGGGGGTTTTTTAAAGGGGGGAAAAAAAAAAATTTTTTGGGGCCGGGGGTTTTTATTTTTTTTTAAAAGGGGGAAATTGGGGGGAAAAACCCCCCCCAAAATTGGAATTCTTTTTAAAAAATTTTTTTTTTTTTTGGGGGGGGAAAATTTTTTTTTTTTTTTTAAAAAAAAAAGGGGGGGGGGGCCCCGGGAATTTTTCCCTTTTTAAAAAATTTTTTTCTAAAAAAAAAAACCCCCTTTTTTTCGGGGAAAAAAAAACCCCCCGGGGGGGTCGGGGGAAAATTCCCTTCCCCGGGCGGCCCGGGTTTTAAAAAACCTTTTTTTTGGGTTTAAAAATTTTTCCCCTTCCCTTTTGTTTCCAACCCCTTTAAAAAACCCCCTTTTTTTGCCCTTTTTTTTAAAAAAAATTTTTTTTTTTGGGGGGAAAAAAAACAACCCCCAAAAAAAAAAAAAAAATGTTTTCCCCCGGGAAATTTAATTTTTCCTTTTTTTTTTTTTTCTTTATTTTTTGGGCCCCCTTTTTAAAATTTAAAATTTTAAAAAACCCGGAAACCCCCCTTTTATTTTTTTTAAAATTTTTTTAAAAAAATTATTTTTAAAAAAACCCCCCCCCCCTTTTTTTGGGGGGCCCCCCCTTTAAAAAATTTAAGGGGTTTTCCCCCGGGGGCCAAATTTTTTAAAAATTTTAAAATTTTTCCCCCCCCCAAAAAAAAAACCCCCCCCCCAAAATTTTTTTCAATTTTTTTTTCCCCCTTTTCCTTTTCCCCACGTTTTCCCCCCAGGGGGGGTTTGGGAAAAAAAAAAAACCTTAAAATTTAAAAAAAATTTTTAAAATTTTTTTTTTAAAAAAGGGAACCCCCCAAAAAAAGGGGGAAATTTTGGGGAAAACCCCTTTTGGGGGGGAAAACCCCCCCCCGGGGGAAAAATGTTTCCCCCCCCTTTTTTTAAAAAAACCCCCTTTTAAAAAAAAAAATTTTTTGGGAAAAAACCCCCCCCAAATTTTTGGCCCCCTTTTCCCCCCAAAAAAATGGGTTTTAAAAAACCTTTTGGGGGGGGCCCCCTTTTTTTTAAAAAACCCCCCCCCCCCCCCCCCCCCCCCCCCCCCCCAAATTTTTCCCCCTTTTTTTTTGGGGGTTTGGGGCCCCTTTAAAAAAACCCCCCCCCAAAAAAATTTTTTTAAAAAAAAATTTTTGGGGGTTTTTTTTTTTTTGGGGGGGGGGAACCTTTTATGTTGTCGAGACAGTTTAGAACTACATCATTGTATGTTGTGAGCCCAGTGTTAAGACCAACCTACTGTATGTTGTCTGAGACCAGTTTAAAGACCATACATTTATTGTATGTTGTCTGAGACCATGTTAAGACCACTACCTTTGTATGTTTTTGAGACCAGTTTGGACCACTACACTTCTGTATGTTGTTAAAGGGAAACCACTACATTTCTGTATGTTGTTAGCCCAGGTTTTAAGACCATTACATTATGTATGTTGTCAAGCCCAGGTTAAGACCACAAAAATTTACTGTATGTTGTCTGAGACCAGTCTTAAGACCATACATTTACTGTATTTTTCCCGAGACCAGTGTTAAGACCACTACACACTGTATGTTGTGGACAAGTGTTAAGACCACTACACTTACTGTATGTTGTCTGAGACGAGTGTTAAGACCACTACACTCATTTGTATGTTCTGTGAGACAGTCTTGAGACCACTTACTGTATGTTGTTAAGACCACTACACTACTGTTGTTGTCTGAGACCAGTGTAGACCACTACACTCACTGTATGTTGTTCTGAGACCAGTCTTAAGACCACTACACTTACTGTATGTTGTCTGAGACCATGTTAAGACCACTACTCATTGTATGTTCTGTGAGACCAGTCTTGAGACACTACACTTACTGTATGTTGTTAAGACCACTACACTTACTGTATTGTTGGTTAAGACCACTACACTTACTGTATGTTGAATTAAGACCACTACACTTATTGTATGTTGTCTGAGACCAGTCGTTAAGACAACAACTCACTGTATGTTGTCCGAGACCAGTGTTAAGACCACTACACTCATTGTATGTTGTGAGACCAGTCTTAAGACCACTACACTTACTGTATGTTGTTAAGACCACTACTACAACTACTGTATGTTGTCTGAGACCAGTTTAGACTACACTCATGTATGTTGCTGAGACACAGTGTTATGACACTACACTTCTATGTATTAACAGTGACCACTATGGTCACTGTATGAACAGTGAGCCACTATGTATGAACAGTGAGCCACTACACTCACTGTATGAACATGAACCACCACACTCACTGTATGAACAATGAACCATACACTCACTGTATGTACATGAACCATATGCTCACTGTATGAACAATGAACCAGTACTTCCTGTATGTACAATGAACCACTACACTCACTGTATGAACAATGAACCCACTACACCACTCTGTATGTACAATGAACCACTACATCACTGTATCAACCCTGAGAAGACCACCCCCCCCCGTTTCAAGGTGAGGGGTTCTTGATTTATGGAATTGAACCTGATGTTCTCTTTCTTGAATCGAACCTGACTGCCTCTTGTTTCCCCTGGGAGTTGTATGATTCCAGAAGGTTTAGTGCTCTCCCCTCATGAATGTAACAGTTAAATGTACATGTCACAGAATGACTGGGGTTTGAACCCTGGTCGCTTCTTCTATATAGGCTGGAATATTGCTGCATGCTAACATCACCTTTCAAGGCAGGTAAAATTGCTGACCTAGAAAATGTACAGAGAACCTTCACGGCGCGCATAACGGAGATAATACACCTCAATTACTGGGAGCGCTTGAGGCTCCTGAACCTGTATTTCCTGGAACGCAGGTGGGAAAAATACAGGATTATATACACTTGGAAAATCGTAGAGAGATTAGTACCAATCTTGCACATGAAAATCACTCCTTATTAAATCAAAAGACTCGGCAGATGATGCAACATCCCCCCAATGAAAAGCAGAGGTGCAACTAGCACAATAAGAGACAACACTAAGTGTCAAGGGCTCAAGACTGTTCAACTGCCTTCCAGCATACATAAGGGGGATTATCAATAGACCCCTGGCTGTCTTCAAGAAGGTGCTGGACAGGCACCTAAAGTCAGTACCTGACCAGCCAGGCTGTGGTTTGTACATTGGGTTGCATACAGCCAGCAGTAACAGTCTGGTTGATCAAGCCCTGATCCACCATGAGGCCTGGTCACAGACCAGGTCGTGGGGGCATTGACCCCCGAAAACCTCTCCAGGTGTATTCCAGGTAGGCCAATGGGTTTTTTGGACTAACCTGCCATGAATTTAAATGCCACCTGTTCTGTGATTTTTTATTTTACAATTGTGTTAATAAGATTTCTCGAGTCCTGATGGGCTTACTGTGTGACCTGTTTTGAACCCTCCATATAGCATTTTGAGTTATCCTGGGTAATTTACACACTTGTTACTAGGTATGATAATTATACTTGTGTGTAATCATATAGCACATCACAAAAGGCAAAAATATGTCTTAAATACTGTGTAACGTTACTTTTCGTTAAAATCAGTGAACAGAGAGAGAGAGAGAGAGAGAGAGAGAGAGATAGATAGATAGGTAGATAGATAGGTAGATAGATAGGTAGATAGATAGGTAGATAGATAGAGATAGATATAGATAGATATAGATATAGATACCTAAATAAACCTATTTACTTATTAAAGACCCCAAATGGAAAAGAGCCGTGCTGCCTGGCTTTGTTGGCTAAGTGTGACTTAACTCTTTGGTGCTAGTAATCTGATACCCCTCAAGGAAGGTTCCTTGATGTTGGTGAGGGGCTCTTGATCTAGGGAATTGGATCTGTGCTCCAGTTCCCTGAATTAAGCCTGAATAACTTCCACATCCCCCCACACAGGCACTGTATAATCCTGTGGGTATAGCGCTCCCCCTTGATTATTTAAAGATAATCTGATTAAATTAAATTAATCCATGTTAAGCGCTAAACCCAAGCGAGTCATTCAGCGCAAGACGTGTTGGAGGCTCGATCCTCCGTCTGGTGAGCGCCAGACAGACGCGCTTCCTATTTGTACTCGCCTAGATGTTCTGATAACTGTCTTTCTTGTCTTGACTCGGGTGATTCACTTCAGATGCAGCTTTATGCTTTTAAAAATATTGCTTTGAAAAACCATGTCACTTACGGACTCTATTTTGCAGAGGTTGTGGTACTGGAATAATTGTGCAGAATGCGAGCCGGGTGTGTCATCTGTGGGGATCTCTTCATAGCAACCACTGATGTTTCTGCTGCTCCATGTGGCCACACTTTCCACTCTGCCTGTATCATCCAGTGGATTGAAAGGTTTGAAGCTTCATCTGATCCTTTCTACCCCTTCACCAAAGGATTTTGTTGTGTAATTGTTGTACATTTAGAACAGAAGTGAATGTTGTATTTGTAGAAAACATTAAAAATTTAGATATTTCAGATTTTTATTTTTGTTTTACAAAAGTCTTGAGTGTTTTTAATTAACTCTTAAACTGTCCACACACAGATATACGTTGATGTGCGGCAGGCTCCGAACGTAGATATACTTTTTTTTATATGCTTTCAAATGGGGAAAAATCAAGGTCAGGAGTGTTACACATGTGAACGTAGATCTATGTTTGGACAGTTTAAGGGTTAAGTATGTCAGATTTATTATTTTTTTTTTTTTTAAAAAAAAAAGGCTTTGTTCAATAATTTATCTGTTGTATGGACCCATCTTCCAAATTGTTACCCCAAGTATTTACTTCCTCCATACTCCCCAGTTTGATAGCAATTTGGGGAGCTATCAAGTTCCTGGTCTCCCATGAAAAAAAAATATTTGGGGCTTACCTAATCCCCCAAATTGAAATTGATTCCTTGAGCTATTCATTTTTGGGCTTAACTCACCCCCGTGCCTTTTAATTTTTCAAAACATTTCTGGGCCCTTTTTCCTTTTTGGGGTCTAGTGCACCTGAAATTTGTTGAATTTCCTTACATTAAAATGCCTTTCCTTGTTTGCCTTTTTATTTTTGGGGAAGAGAAGGAAGCACAGGGTAGTTCTGGGAAGTGGAGGGGTGGGGGTTAGTTTAATTCTTTTTTATGCACCCCATACCTCCTGTGGGCGGTAGTAAAAGATTACAAGGACTAAGGGGCCCAGGGACTGGACTCCAAATTTTATGATAGCTGAACAGTTAAAAAGGTAATGAACTCCAGGTAGATTGGTCACCTCTATTTTGTTTTTGGCCAGAAAACAATAGTCTTTCGTTGTGGTCAGAAAGTGCGCACAGATTTTGCAGCCACTTGCCCTCAAACAAAAAAAAATGCCCCTCTAGCACGGGGGAATGACGCTTTTAAAAACTCCCACACTAACAAGGATGTACTTTGTCCCATGATCTATGCTGCTGCCTATTTCACCCAGGTATGCCTAAAAATTTGATCCAGGAACTTTGGATAGCCCTTGTATTTTATTGCCTTAGTTTGAATTCCCCTTTTTCCCTCCCCTTTTTTCTATAATAATTTAAATTTCGTTTTTTACATATTCTTTTAAATTCTTCCAAAACCTCTGAGTTTTTTTTTGATTTTTCTAAAAGCACCTTTGATTTTTTTCCCACTCTGTATCGCCCATTATTTTTGGTTATACACTTCTTCCCAACACCTAACATTCACTTTTTTTTATATTAGATCCCCTTTGTGAATGCTTCTTCTCAAAGGCCTACTTTCCCAGGTAGGGTTTGGGGGCTTTAGCCCTTCCCTGCCGTGTCACTGTACCACTGTTTTCCCTACAGGAAGGAGGGACAGGTCGCCCCCATAATTTTGGTTATTGGGACCCTTTTGGTGCTGGATTAGTGATTTACCGAAATTTCAGAGTGGTTTGGTTTTAATACACTTAATTAACCTATCAGTAGAGACTTCTGCTACATCTTTCCTCTTTTCATCATGCTTTTTTCCTCCCTGGCTTCTGCTGTGGGGTTTAAACCACTGCACAATTTCTGAGTCGTATAATGATGAAAAAATTTGAAATTTTGCTACCAAAATTATACCCGGGTTATGATGGGAAACCGATAACTGATTGCCCGATTAGGATGGCTGACCCGTAGTTAACGGAGAGTCTCCAAGCAGTTGAAATTAAAACCCCCGATTAAAAAGACTACTAGAAGGTGGAAGTGTCTGCTAAAACTAACACCCAAAAATATATTTCTGTGGTCATAAAAAGGTTTGGGCAATTTCGGATATAACAGATTAAGTCTGTTAAATGCAAAAGGGAAAAATCGTGACTTCAACAGACATGGATGGTTTTTGATGAAAGGACTTTTGATTTTGGGAAATTTTGTAAAAATAATGCACAATTTTTTTTTTTTTAAACAGAAAAAATTTTTTTCCAAAAGAATTTTTACTGAAACCTTTAAAAAAAAAAGGGGTTTTTGGAATAAGGAGTGTTTCAAAATTTTCCCAAGAAAAAAACCTTTTTGGAAAGAAAAATTGGGTTTTTTGGGGGAAAGTCTTTTTTTATGGGGTTGGGGACCCCTATTTTTTTTTTATTTTTTTAATAAAGGCCTTAAAGGATCCCGAAAAAAAAAATTTTTTTTACCCAAGTTTCCAAAGGGGGTTTTCCCCAATTTTTTTAAAGGGAACAAAACCCCCCTTTTTCATGTGCGGCACTGTATTCAAAAAATCAAGTTTGGGTTTTAACCCCTTTAAAAAATGTTATTTGTAACCCCCAAACCTCATAAACCCAAAATCACGATGATGGAAAGAACATTTTTCATATGAATGCATTAAAATCCCTGATAATGTTTTAAACTATCATAATTTAAGTGCTCAATACGCTGGGATTAAAAAATAAGTACAAAAGAAAAATAAATACAGTACACTGTAACCCAAATGCTTATCCTAAAAGCAAAATAAACAATGACTCAATTGAAACCATTGGAAAGTGGAAAAAAAAACCTACCCCGGGCGGGATTTGAAAACCCGGTCAGAGAGCCAAAACTCCAGACGTCGGTTTGCCCTGGACAAATTCCCCAAAAAGATTGCCCAACTAGGTTATTTCTACACCATGGAGGGGTTTTGCTAGGCACACTTGACCACAAATGCAAGTTTTTACAAACGAATTAGCTACTGGCCCTGAAAAACTCTATAAAAATCCCCTCAAAGCGTTAACATGCAATCGTGTTTAATTTGTGAGTCAGAAAATTGGGGAAAACTGAAAAGGGGTTGCCAAATATTGGGGCCCTCCTGTTTTTGGAAACCTGTAAAATTAGTTCAATTGATAAAGACAGGGTTGACCATAATCCAAAGGTTTTTTGTTATTTTTTTTTCCGGTCAAAATCTTGTCCGCAATGCCGCCGGAAAGCAACTGACAAAGCTTGGTGAAGCTTTTTTTTGATACTGGTGGGCTGGATACTTCACAATTAGACCCAGACATCTTGCAGCACCAAATTGATAACTTGAAGGTAAAACACATTTCTTTTGCATTAACCTTTCAGGGTCGAGACCTCTGATCCTTAACTCGCTCTCAGGGTTGAAAAATATTAAAAAAAAAAAAAAAAAAAAAAAATTCCTACTAAAATCTTAAGAATATTTTTCTAAGTGCTATAGAAAAAAAAATGGAGGATCAATACTTGCCAAAATATGGAGGCATGAATTTGACAGAAAGTGAACCACTTATGGCAACATCGCTGACTGCCGGTCACTCAGTAATATTATCTTTACTATTATTTTACTTTTTTCTTTTGTTTTTTAATATTTTATTTTTTCAAGTAACATTTATGGCCTGTGAGACCAATATAAGGCATACTGTATATATTATTCACTCATTGTATGCTGCTACAATAATTGCACAAACAATGACAGGTGAACATTTTCACCTACCTTAGTCACATACTATTGCCTAAAAATACAGTGGACCCCCGGTTTACGATCAGCTCCCAATGCGACCAATTATGTAAGTGTATTTATGTAAGTGCGTTTGTATGTGTATGTTTGGGGGTCTGAAATGGACTAATCTAATTCACAGTATTCCTTATGGGAACAAATTCGGTCAGTACTGGCACCTGAACATACTTCTGGAATGAAATAATATCGTAAACCGGGGGTCCACTGTATATACATAGGATTTATAGGTCTCAACAGTGTTTTGGATATGTAGGAGTATATAATGTTTCCTTGAAGCATGATGTAAGATGGGTGTCATTCCATTGCTGACAGTGCAGCAGTGGTGACATTTGATGAGTGTGCACTGCCTTGGCTTTATTTGCTTTTACTGTTACACATAAATATGTCTGTCTATCTGTCTAGCTCTGTGTTTATCTTGTCTTGCTTATTTGTCTTTTGTCTCTTGCTTGTCTCTTCTTTCTCTCTCTGTCTCTGGCTCTTGATCCCATCTTCTCTCGTCTGGCAGATTCTCCAAGTGAAACCATTACAGTATTTACTATGCAAATCTACAACAAAGCACTTTGGATTTGGTATCCTATTAATAACGTAAATATTTGTGTGAAAGAGGATAGCGGATAACGTTGAAATTAAAGACTAAGAGGAAAACAAAGACAACACACAACAGAAATATGTACGACTATGTACTGGATTATCCAGCAGGAATAGTTATCCTTGCTTATTTACAGCTATTACATAATGATTGTGTGCCTGAATTTATAGTACAGACTAAACAGAGAAATACTATTTGAGCACTAACAGAGTATCCAGAGAGATGAAGGATGCAAATTTGCAATGAAGGACGAAGATGTTAGCAAGTATAGGACACCAAAGGGTTAATTTATAGATTTCATAACATGGTCCAGTTATGTGTTAGTCTGAGGAAACCCACGCCTCTCCTAAGCGGTCAAATTTCAGTTTATGGTCGGCATCCCTTGCACCAATGACCTATAACGTAGTCTTTCTTCCTTTTTGGGTCATCGCACCACGGAGATGCAGTGTGAAAAAAATTGTTTTTGATAGACTTTGAAATACAAAACGAAATAGGTAGCATTGGAAGGTATGGAAACGGTTCCTGAATGTAATCAGACACAGAACATTGTCTTTATGGGAATATTTCGCAGTGCTCAATTACTTGACAAAGGAGACGCTCAAAACCCTGAGGCGAGTATCAGCTTAGGCTTATGGTCAGTCCTAGCCTTGAAAAATCAGTAGTGGAAGAGCTATAACCATAGGGGAAGGCAAGGGGGATAACAGAAGCTCAGTTCCGCCAGATATGAGATAAAGGAGTTTACTTCTTTTGGCTTGGTGACAAGCGTGCACTGAATTACCACTCCACAATGCAATGCGGGTGGTTCCTGATTTTTTTACTGCATCCAACTGACCGCGCAGGGCACATTCTCTCAATGCAGCCTACCAGCTTTCTCCGCCTAGATTTGAAAGGGGTCTATATTTTGGCATATGAATGTGGGACTGAGACTGGCTCTCAAGCTGTACATGTATGGGACTGACCCCAAATGGGTTTAATTTTTCTTGAGTGAAAGATTTCATAAAATTGATACCAGTTAACTGGACTTGAGTCCTGGAGGTGGGGAAGTACGTACCTGCTCTCTGGAGAGGGGTCATGACATTTGCAGTTTTGAACTGTTTGTATCGGCATCCCTCTGGCAAGACAGTGATGAAGTGAATAATGGTGAAAGTGTTTCTTCCTTTTTGGGTCACTCTGCCTCACTGGGAGATGGCAGTGTGTTGGAAAAAAAAAAAAAACATGTTTTGATTATGGACTTTGGAAATACAAAAAAAAATTCACGGGTCAGTCAATTTGGAAAAATATGGACACAGCCGTTAGCCATAGAATTGATAAATCAGACACAGGTGCAACACTTGGGTATCTTTATTGAGGAAACATTTCGCCACACGGGGGCTTCATCATTCCATACAAAGGAAGGTTGAAAAAACAGGAGGAGTTGAGGTAATCAGTCCCAGGCTTGATTGATGTGGTCGTCCATCAGCTTGAAAAAAAAATACAGTATATGTGTGAAAAGTGCTTATATACCTAGGCAGGAGAGGTGCAGCGTCGAAGTGATACCCCCTATGACTGTTTGCCCCTCTCCTGCCTTGATTTGAGCACTTCTACACACAATGCTGTATTCTTTTCAAGATAAAGGACTGACCACTAAACTAAAGGTGAGGGACTGATTACCTCAAGCTCCTCCTGTTCTTAAACGCTTTTTTTGATGGATGATGAAGATTTGGGGCGAAACGTTTCCTCAATGAAGTACCCAAGTGTTGCACAGTGTCCGATTTATCAATGTCAGCCTCTGAACCATCATCTACAGCCATAAAAATTACTGTTAGTTATTATTGCAGCAAACTTTTTTATTTATTTTTTGCTGTCTAGTTACAAAAAACTCTTTTATTTATATTTCCCAAGGTTAATTTTTAAGGGAGCGGAAAAAAATTTTTGGGAAAGAAACCCCATTCCAAATTAACAAAAAAAAACAAAAGTCTTAGGTAAGTTTTCCCCTGACATAATTATTCTCCCAAGATATGTTTTCCTTTGATAAAAAAAATTATTGAAAACACGGCTAGGTCTTGTTAGAACAAGTTCGAATTTGTGTGACTTTTGATTTATGGAAATTTAATCAGTGCTAGTTTACTCCAAATTCTTCAAATTTTGTGCAAAAATTTTTCATAAATTTTAAAAATCTTCTGGGAAATGGAACTGAATTTTCCCCGTAAGCAAAGCTCCGTAAAAGGCGACTAAAAAGCGGGAGCAAAGGGCTAGTAACCCTTCTGTACAAATTACTAAATTTAAGAAGAAAAACTTTAATTTTTTTTTTAGGGCACCCCGCCTCAGTGGGATAAACCCCCCGTTTAACAGAAAAAACAAATAGTGTAAATTCGAACAATGCACGCTTTACAGTATTATTTTTTCCACTAACGGTAAACTGTAGCCATCAAAAATAATTATTTTATTTTGGGTAGTTTTTTCTCAGATAAAAATATTGTATTGTTTCATATCAGTATTTCCCCTCAAGCATAAAGGTTCTATCTGGGAGGTTATTTATTCTTTATAAAAATTTTATTTCAAGAAATGTAAAGTGCAGTGGACCCCCCCTTTCGATCAGCTCCAATGCGACAAAAATGTAGTGTATTTATGTAAGTGGTTTGTACGTGTTGTTTGGGGGTCTGAAATGGACAAAACCCAATTTTACAATATTTTATGGGAAAACAAATTCGTGTACGGCACCTGAAATACTTTGGAAAGAAATAATATCGAAGCCCCCGGTCCCCTGTATAAGAATGGGGTGTTCTTTTCATTTTGGTTTCATTATTGCAAACCCAGGGTACTATGGAAGCTTATTCAAGCCAAAACACTTAATTTGCATAATAATTGACCACTCAATTTGAAAGCATAAGAGCGATTTTTTTAGCCCTTTTGCGAAATTTTTTTTAGAAATGATTTTTTTTGTATACAGGGGGGCTCTGCTTATGCGCAGGTTAGGTTTAGGTTACGCTGTAAAAGGAAACAGGCTTTTTTCACTTTCAAATGCATAAAACCTGATAAATGTTTGCACTACATACATTAAAATGAGCAGTAAAAACTAGGCCTAAAAATGTATATACAGAAAACCATTTTCTTATCTTAAATATTTTCAACCTTAGCTTATAGTGAATGTGAATATTTTATTGTGGAAGTCTTTGGATAAAAAAAGAATTTGGGGATAATTTAAAACTGCTGTATTAGCGAAACACTGAAAAAAGTATGCTGTAAAGTGGGGGCCTCCTGTAGAGACATTTCTGGGGGGTGTTGTTTTTAACGGGTTCATTGTAACCTGAACACAAAAGTTCATTTTTTTTTTTTTTTTTTTTTTTAAGAAACTGACCATTTTCCATAAGGGAAGGGTAACCCCAAAAAAAACGCTGAAATACATTCACCATCCATTCATCTAATCACTCTTTCCAGGAACCCGTGAATGTTGATGAAATTTTTCCTTTTTTTTTTAGGGGGAGGGGGGAAGGGGAGTCTCCCCCCTTGCAGGACATGGCCGGCGTATTAAAAAATATTAATATTATTTATTTTTTTATCTAGGGTAGGTGTGCTCTGGTAAGACAGTGATGGTCGGGAGTGTTGATATGGGAGTTTCTTCGTTTTTGGGGTTTTTAAAAAACCCCCCTCCCTTGGTGGGGAAAATGGCGATGTGTCAATTTAAAAAAATAGTCTTACAGTAGGATACCAAAACTGCAGTTAGTAGCAAACCCTTATATATATCAGTCCTATAATAAAGTTTAATGATAAATTATGCACTATAAGTGGATGAATTTTCACTTTTTCCACTGAATAGGGAAGCACTTCTCAGCTTCTCTTAGGCTTTGAAGAACTCTTACCATCATTGCTTTGCACTTGGGAGATCATTATTAAGCAAAATTAAGGTAATTTTCGGGCCACGGTAAACCGTGGGTAGCTTGAAACCAGGGATACTGGACCCACAGAATGCCGGGGGTCCTACTGTGACATTCTATTCATTGAATCTCTTGTTTTTCTTTTATAGAGAAGAATATAAGAGTGTTGAAAGTCAAGTACATGTGAAAGAGACAACGATATTGGCTCTTAAGACGCAGCTACAATTTATGGATCGTATCACTAAAGAAGCGCAGAAAGCTAAGGAAGAAGCAAAGAGTTTACGTGACCAGCTGAGAGTTCTCCAGAAGTAAGGACACACTCACTGCTAATAATTTTCTTTATTTATCTTTATTATACCATTGTAATGTATCTTAGCCTGGCTGGACGATTAAAACCCTTGGATAATTTAATCAGTTTGTGAGTTGTTCATTATTAAAAATGTTGCAAAATTTAATCTGTTTATGTGCTGCTCATTATTAAAAATACAGGATAATTTAATTATTCCTGGGTTCATCAGTAAAAACACTGAGGCCAATGTATAAGGAAGCCACACGAATTTGTCCAGACAAAAGTAATACATTGTGATGTCCCTGTAGATTCAGGTGTGTTCATATAGCCTTATTTCAAAAATCTATATGCAAGTTTAATGTTAATGTCCCTGTCTTGCAGCGTGGAGAGTATAGTGTCTGGGACCAGTGAAGATGTGGAGGAAATGTTAAGTTCTTATTCTTGCAACCCTGACAGCACAAGGTCTTTGGCTACTTTTTGCTCAATACTGAAAAAGTAAGTGTAATGTTTGTCTTGTAATTTTTAAAATACCTACTTGTTTTAACTCGCATCTACAGTAAGTCCTCAACTTAGGAAAATATCGAGAATCTTCTGTATTGTGTATATCATTTTTATACACAATACAGAAGGTCCCCAGTATACTATTTGTAAGTTGAAGACTTAATTTTTTTTTTATTTTTTATTATCACGCTGGCCGATTCTCACCAAGGCAGGGTGGCCCGAAAAAGAAAAACTTTCACCATCATTCACTCCATCACTGTCTTGCCAGAAGGGTGCTTTACACTACAGTTTTTAAACTGCAACATTAACACCCCTCCTTCAGAGTGCAGGCACTGTACTTCCCATCTCCAGGACTCAAGTCCGACCTGCCGGTTTCCCTGAACCCCTTCATAAATGTTACTTTGCTCACACTCCAACAGCACTGTCAAGTATTAA